GCAGGAATCTCGCATATCCCGAAGCTTTTGCTGTACTGTGCTGTGAGCGTTCCTCAGAGGAACTGAGGTGGAGATGGGATCATCAATAGTACATGTAAGCGCCATGTTTGTTATCTAGAAGCTGCGTGATCTCAGCACGGTTCTCATCAATCCAGTGTTTTTTGTGGAGGGCCCAAGACACTCGAAGGCTATAATTTACACTGTATCACGAAGTGTGCTCCATGCTGCTTCCAGTTCGTGGTCATCCAGCAGGGTGGATTTCAGGCGTTCTTCCAGGGTGTCAGCAAAGTACTGAGGTGGAAGGCAACTTGAGCTTGCCAACGTTGAAACGTTTTGAAGCCTTAATCCTCTGAGGACGTATCCTGAGTTTGATCCGGATGTTGAGAGTTGAAGTTTAAAGACGATGAGACGGTGATCTGTCCAGCACTCCGCGCCGCACATAGCCTTGGTGAACAAACGAGCTTTCTGTGTGTCTCTCTTCCTGACAATGACGTAGTCAATGAGATGCTAGTGCTTTGAGCGAGGGTGTTTCAATGGCGTCTTGTTACGGATGGGAAGGCAGAAAACGGTGTTAGTGATGAGAAAGCCATGTTCAACGCAGGTCTGAAGAAGCAACAGGCCTTCACTGTTGCACTTGCCCCCTCTGTGCTTCCCAATCACGCTTTTCCCCGGTGGTATCTCGCATTAAAGTCACCAAGAATGACGAGCTTGTCTGCGTTGGGGACGGCGTAAGTGACATTGTGGAGGTTCTCAAAGAACTTGTTTTAGCCTCCTCTGGGTTAGTGAGGATAGGAACATATGCGCTGATACTAGTGGCGAACTTTCCTCGAGTGAGGGGGTTTCATCATCAGGCGGTCGTTCACTCCTTTGGGTACGCCGACTAGCTTGCCAGCAAAGCCTACGCCAGCTTCTCGTTTCTCCTTGGCTCTTCCATCCTGGTTCACTGAGAGCTGCAATGTCAATGCTATATCTCGAAAGTTTAAATGCAATCAGTGCTGTGCGTCTCTGGGGTCTGTCGGTAATGTCTCTGTCGAGAAGCGTTCGAACATTCCACGATCCAAGGTTCAATGTGATGATCCTTGTTTTCTACTTGTTCTCTTTGTTATTTCGATAGCATGTGTAGGGTCTAGGTAAACTGCCTAGAGAAAAGTGGAGCAGGCATTGTTTGGGATACCTTTTCTAATCGGCTCCTCTCTGCCATGGACGTGAGCAGTGCGTTCCTAAAGAGGGCTGCTCAGTCGCAGAAGTGGCTGCCGAACTCCAACGCTGCTCCGATCGGTGAAGAACAATCCTATGGCCTGTGCCGTCTGCGTGCAGGTCCGCGACTAGCGACTTCCAGTGAACCCGCACCTGTCACCTTTTTCCTCGCATGTCCTCATAGGGCTTTGGGGTGGATGATAGAAGGGATGGAAGATGAACAATGACTTGCGTGATGAGTTTGATTAAAGTGAAGTATATAATTTAGACGGTTCATTACAGAGTCAATATTGAATGATAATTGAAAAGGGTAAAGGCTTGGTCTGCATTCAGAAGAATTTTCAAGAAAATATCATTCAAAATAAGAGAGAAATTGCATATTGAAAAAAAAACCTCCTTCTTTCAAAGACACAGCTGAGAGAACAAACAAGTTGGGTTAGTGTACATCATTAAAGCCACAATCAATTGAATGCTATCATACATTTTCTGAAGGTAGAGAGGCATGTCCTTCAAAAATTAACTATGAAAATTATTCACCTAAGATGGTACCGATACCGAAAAATTCATGGCCTGGCTCATGGACTAAATGTAAAGTTTTGAATAAACATCTTTGACCACAAATTCTTGGGTCTTGGTTGATAAATTTATATGTACCTTATTGATATGTATTAAAGGTATATATGGAGGCTACGTAATGGCGTCTGCTCAACTCGCTTGTTTACATGGATAGTTCGTTGAAAATAATACTATTCCTACCGATCTTTATGCACCAGACGTCTTGAAACATTGATAATAAAAAAAGCCCTCACATCTTGCAAACAATTCAAATTTATAGAGGCATTCTAAGAAATTTGAATGTAACATGAATTATTCCAGAACTGTTTCATTTTGTCGGAATGCCTCTAGAATTTTGAAATGTCTGAATGATCGACCGGAATTTGTCGTTTAGAATCGGGATTTAGTCTTTGCACTTAGTTCCAGACACGTTTAAGAAAAGTTTGAAAAAATGTTTAAAATCACGTTTTAGGAATTATTTGCAAGATATGAGGGAGATTTAAAATTGTTTAAATGAAGGACCAACCCCCAACCCCCCTATAGACAGTTAAACAAGATATAAAAAAAATATGATAGTGTCATTAAAAATGTTCTCCTCAAGAGCCACTGTGGCAAAAAACTGAAACTTATGTGAAGCACCCTGGAGTAGTGTACGTTTAGACTATGACACCAGGGGTGGGGCTGGGCCACAATAAGGAATCTGAGTTTTACACTTAAATATATAAGCAAAACATAAAAAAAAAATTTGTCAAGAGGCCCTGGACCATAAAAGTTAAAACTGTTGTGGAAGCTTCCTGGTGTAGTGTAGATTCTAAATTGTTCAAATTATGACCCCTGGGGGTAGCTAGGACGGGACCACAATAGAAAATCCATGTTTTATGTTGAAATGTAAAAGAACAATCTTGATTAATCTTATCTTCAAGAATCACTTGACCAGAATAACTGAAACGTATGTGAAAGTATCCTGGTGTAGTATGAATTCTACATTGTTCAAATCATGACCCAATGGTAGGGAGAGGCCACAATAGGTAATAAAAGGGGTAATCTGGTGAAGAACAGCACGATTAAAATTACACAGGTGAACGTTGTGTCGCATGGGTTTCTGTTTGCTTATCAATGAGGTACATTCTCAGAACATATTTATTGACCAAGACCCAAGTACCTTTGTCTTTGACATCATTTGGATTACATAAGTGTGCGCGGATTTATATATATTGAATATATTTATTAAAATTTTGCTTTTTGACTACGTTTCTAAATACAAAGTTTAACAATGTCTTTGAGAGTAAAGTTAGACTAGTTTGTGTGCGCAGGTGGATTGAGTTGGTGAACACTTTCTTTGAATTGCTATTGGTTACGAATTTTCATTGGCTGTTATAATAAAGAACTATCAAATCAGATCGTTTCTTTTGTATTATAAGCTAGCCAAATCTAGATTCAAATCACTGCAGATCCGGGGCCCTGATTAGACACTTCCACCTCGCACAAGGTATACTTTATATACGTGTATTTATAACTTTAAATTACAAGTTTTTTTAGTAAATAAACGACAAAGATTGTCAGTTATAAAGTTAATATGTATATATTCTCATACGTAATGCATTACTATGTATAAATTGTATACACTGAACCAAACTTCTAAGTGTTCACCTAACATTTTTCAAGTCTTAAAGAACAAATGCATTTAATAAATAATTTCTTTAATTCATGGTTAATGATGCATATTTAAGTTCGATGTTGCGTAGATTTCATGTAAGTATCTCGTCAGAATTTTAAGCAAAGTGTCAAGGAAATGATGTACCCCCAAAATGAAAATTCACACAAAAAATCTCTATGGAGTAAGACCACCACTCGCTCTAATTACTACGAGACAATTTTTACTGTTGGATACCATGTACCCCTGAATAGGAGATTGGGCCATTTGCTGCAACACCTACTGCATAGATCTTTCCAAACCGTTGAAATTGTGTGGAAGGGGGGGGGGGCTTTGACATTTCTAATAAAAATCCCAAATGTGTTCAATGAGATACAGATCCTGGAATGTGACAGTGTATCATCACACAGATACCTTTTGGTCAATATCCTAGGGTGTTTAGCACGTAAGTGCACCGCCTTAAGGATGATTCAGACTGCTTGAGCTGGTATAAGACTGTCACAAGCACCAATTTCTTATCATTTTCATACGATTGAAATTGTTTCTTTTTATGTTTCTAAGATTGCTTCAGGACAATTTCACACTCTTTGAACCTGGTGTGACACGAAATTTTGGCCTCAGACGAAGATCAAGGTCACTTCCGGTTTGCTTAAATTTTGTCCAAAACTTTCAAATTGTGATAAATTGGCGACTAAAAATGATGCAAAGCCTATAGAAAAATGTGTTTGAATGGGTTTTGACACAGGTTGTTAATTTTTAAAAGTAATATCAAGGACAATTAAACACTAAGATAAAAGTGAGTAAAACGTGGTGCAAGGATGGTCCAGATATCAACATTTCAACAGCTCTCCCTTCTTAATCAGTGGTCATTTTGCCAATGTTTTGTGTTTTTTAGTGAAACCAGTTTTCAAAATTCGATAATGATTACAAAAAGATGCTAATTACACAAAACACGCGCCGCAAAGTACAGATTTATTGTTTTTAAGCTTCGTCACGGAACATTGGTTTTCATCGGTGATATTTTATTTTCTTTCTACAATTGTTGAGAAGACTCATTTGTTGTAATTATTTGAAAATATCATACCATTCTATAAAGTATTTTATAAATAAATACATTTTTTAAAGTGAACACTTAGAAGTTTTGTTAAGTGTATATTTACATGTACTTATATTTTTTTGTAGAATCACCTTATATGTTATATGAATAAACCTAAAAACCTACAGTGCCATCATTATTTCACTTGGTCACATAAGATTTTAAACATAATCACTTACAAGAGGTCCATGGGCCTCATTACTCACCTGAGTTCAGTATTGAAAAGTTTAAATAAAAATGTGGTTCGGAGGAGGAAATGGATTTTAACAAAGTGAAATCTACACTTCCCTAGACTGTTTTTGAATTAATATTACACTATCCGAGGATGCTTCTATATATCTATGACCAACCTTGTCTTTGCTGCTATTGAAAAAAGATTTTTAATAAAGATTTTTCATATTTAATCTTATGTTAAACTTTGGTCCCCAGTGTGATCCCACCCTACCCTCCGGGGGTCATCTTAACAAACATGAAACTGCACTTCCTTAGGATGCATCCACATGAGTTTCATCTTTTCTGGTCCAATGGCTTCTGACAAGATTTTTACAATATACCACAAATTTTTCAGTAATTCATAATTATCTGCCCTTGGAAGAAGGCGTGACCCTTCAAAAAAATTAAAAGAAATTCAAATCCCCCTAGCCTTTGACCTTTTCCAGATTGTGGGTGGATTTACAAGGCCATATGTGGTTTGCTAAGCCAGTTACATTTATAAGGCCTGCCTCGAGGAGGTATTTTACCTCCTGACAATTTAAAAATCACTATTCAGGTTCAGTCTTCTACTTTTTCTGAGTAGAATAGTTTGCTATAGTACTTGTAGATGATGTTCCTTTATTGGTTGCTGTAAGTGTTACATATGGATCGTATCCGATAATTCCAGGGTTTGGGGTTTTCAATATAGTAACTGATTTCAAATGGTGTGATTTTAGTGGACTGTCAAAATATACAAATATGTTCTAACATTATCTAGGTCATGATTCGAACAAATATTTGATTCTTCACAATGGATAAAAGGGTTCCTAAAAGTTTCAACTTCTTGACCCAGTGGTTCTTAACACGAAGGTTTCAAACATGCCAACTATGATTTAACTATTTCTAAGTTATATACCCTTATATGAAGGTGCTGTTTTTTTTATTTGAACAAACTTGAATCCCATTCACCCTTAGTAGCAAGTTTGGTTGAAATTGGCCTAATAGATCTTACTGGAGAAGAAGACGAAAATCATGTGAAAAGTTTACAGACTTACGAACGGACAAACAAACAAAAGTCATGTGATTTTTCAGTTCAGGTGAGATAAAATTACATAGACATTTACATAATTATATGACATGATATACAAATGATATTATATCACGATAACCAATAAAAGATCAAGCATTTCCTCTAACTATAATTATGACGTCATTTTAAAAATAATAATAATTATTATTATAGATTAATACATGACGATAAATTCTGAACGTGTATAAACTCCAAATATATAACGTGTACTAAATAGAAGATTCAGTACAGTTTTAGTTTTAAATATACAAGGGATAAATAAATGATGCCACCACACGTGCCATTCAAACTTCAGGAGAAGCAATTTAAGGTTCATCTTCAAGAAACTCAAATTGTCTTGAAGTTTTATCACCGGTCCTTACTACCAAAGACTGGACCTCTATTTCAGTGTCCCCGAATAGCAAGCTAACCTTGACCTCCCTGTCTAATCCCCCGGTAGTGTCATGCATATCGACATCATAGCTTCCTAGAAATGTGCATCCTGGATCATCTATATACATTGGGTTATCGTTTTCTGATTTATACAGGGAAATAAGCATACTTTTTTGGTCAGCTTTCAAAGGCGTATAAGTTTTTTCTGCCTGGGCCACGTTCAATATGAGTTCGTCGTCTTTCTTCACATGTCTACTAAAAAGATCCTTACATGTGTCTTCTTCATTTACTTGAAATTTCTTTGATTCTTTGTGTATTTTGGGATCAAATTTACGAGTTGTAGCTATACCATAAGTTCTCTGCGCAATTCGGCAGTCAATTGTACTGGGATCTTTTCCAAAAAGCACCGCACCGCGAAGTACTGTCAGTCCGGCTTCCTGGGGAACAATGACCCGATACTTGGAGCAAAAAGCACTTTTTACTGCATCTTGCAAAACTGGTGACTCTGAAAACCCACCTACCATAAGGATAAAGTCAACACCTTTCGCTTTTGGTGATTGGAGAAGTTTTTTAACATGATCGACCACTCTGTCGCAAGTGGTCCTAAAGAGGTCTACAAAAGTTGCACGGTTTATTCTCAGTTTATCTAACTCTAGATCAATATTTCCGTTATATTTGGTACATGCAATCTTGCCTGCCAAGTTTTTGCAAATTTCTACCAAACTTAGAGGTATTTTCAATGTAACAAACGCTTCATTCTCATTACTTTCATTTCTCTTCCTCTTCTTTATTTCGAAATCCCTAAACAATTCGAGGTAGTCGGCCGTATATGTGCGGCGGAATTCCTCCATAAGACCCTCTCCTACAATCTCAGTTAGAACTGCCTCGAAGGCTTTGTCCACGCTGACCCCTCCCCAGTCCCCACCGCTGGCTCTCGTCAGTTCCCTCAGCTTTCCTTCGTCTTTGACCTCGTGAATAGTTATGTCGATAGTTCCACCTTTGAACAAAGAATCTTACAATAAGAAATTATGGTTCTTTGAATTAAAAAATGCTCGAAGTAAAATATTCAAACTTGAGAAAAAGATTCTAATGTATCTCTCTCAAATTCAAGTCTCATTTAATACATCAGTCGTTGTTATATAAAAATTAACTATAAAGAGAGAATGATTTGATTTAATTACAGTATATTAGAGAAAAAATGCATTAATTTTTTTATCCTTATCCAACATTTATGCAATTTATAGTACATCTCAGAATGCGACATTTGATTTTTTCGTTTCAATTTTCACTGTAACACTGTAACACGAAAACAAGAATCTCAACAAAGAAATACTACATCATGAACAATTGAATATATTTTCGGTTTCTATTCCAAGGATTAAATTATACAGTATGTGTTTTGACTTAAGGATGCAGTTTTAAATGGTTAAATAAGGAGATATCTTCCTTTTATATTAATTAAGCACGAACCTCCTGCGTCCAGAACAAGATATTTGCTGCCCACTTGAAAAGAGTCTATTCTGTTATCACTTCCTTGAAGTTTTTCTACAGGTAGATGTTTGCACCAGATGGAAGCTGCCTCTGGTTCAAGTGCGATTCGTAGTTTGTCTCTGTCTATACCTGCCTATAAACCATTTATTATGAAACCTAACAGGCGCGGATCCAGAAATTTTTTCCAGGGGGGGGTCCACCTCAGTCAATAAAAAAAATTCCAATCCCATAAATTTCTTGACAAGAAAAAAAAAAAAAAAAAAAAAACCTAAAATCGCCCAAACGTCAAAAACCTTTTTCGTGGGGGGGGGGGGGGGGGGGGGGGGGGGGGGGGTTAGTGGTGACTTCTATTGCTTCAAATCTTTCACTTATCATACCACTTCACACATATTCTCGTTTACCAGGGGGGTCTGAGTTTTCCAGGGGGGGTCCATGGGGTAGCTATTTTCTTGTTTTAGTATATACATTTTTTTACCTGTTAAATTCCAGGGGGGGTCCTGACGCCCCCGACCCCCCCTCTAGATCCGCGCATGCCTAAAGTTCGTTTCATAAATAAATATTTTTGAAAATTTCAAAGTAGTGTTTAACCGAAGCGATTTATTTATTTATTTATTTTTACAAATTGTGCTTTCGATTTAAAGCATTTTTTTCCCATTTCAAAATACCCGTACATAAATGTGTTTAAAAGACCCAAACAAATTAAAGAACTGCTAATTATTTATTACCTGTTCTGCAGCCTTTCTCATGAATTGTTTCGCGGGATCGTCCCAAATTGCGGGAACAGTAACAACCCAAAATATGTCCTTATCTGTAGCAATGGACTTCCTTTGTTCTAAATTTTCTAATAGATGTCCTTTTAAGTAGCGTATGGCATGAGCGAAAATATCTACAGCTGGTATCTCTCTGTTTAAAATGTCTGGAATTGTAGTGTTCATCGTTAATCGCTGAAAAAATTAAAATATATATAATTAAGTGTCGATACTACGATATACCGCAAAACTTGTTTTCTTTAGCCAGAATACCAGTATACCTTTCATCAGGCCATCATGCAAGGGATGGTTAATATGTTTTAAATTTTTTTTTTTCATATACCAAATGTTTTAAAGTGTTTTTTTTAATAATAGTTAATCAAAATAATTTTTATTAACGAATGATACTAATTATCAAGAAACGAATCCCAATTTAGTGTGTTGTGTTCTATTATCACCTTGCTGGATATAATGCATTTTGTCCAATTCGTGCACAGAAAGGAGTTTTCCACTTAAGTATAGTAGCTTGGTCCCTTTTTTCGCCCCTATTTTACAGAATATACTTGAGGATATGGTATAATTTTTATTTTCATGGTGTATAACATAGTAGTTCTGATTAAAATTTTGTACAATCATTATTAATGATTTTGAGTATCAAGAAATAAAAGCCAATTTTCAACACCTACCGCACATACACATTCCGGAACATTTTCTTTCGAACAGGGTACGGTTTCTCTATTACATACACATGGGCGGAGACATTTAAATTAGTTACTATATAAAGGAAGACATGGTGAGCTGTAGCGTGAGATAAGAAACAATAAACAATGTACGGGTTAGAATAATATTCAAAAAGCTTGAATTTTATTTTGCACTATTCGTATTCTTCTTAATTTGGCGTGGGTGAGGAGTCTTCTTTTTGTTCTTAAGGTATTTTTGGTCTGAAAATCCCCAATCACTTTTTTTTATTTTTAATCTATAAATGCATCTATCAGATATTAACCACTTTATTAATTTTCTTCCATATGACAATTTAAAAAGTACAAGCGATCGAATAATAAATAACAGTAAATACATACAGAAATTTAATACACTTCCTTTCCTTTGTAAAGGGGGAGCTGAGAAAAAATAAACAAAAAATAAACAATAGACCTGAACAGAAGTTTGGTAAAGCAAAAGAAAAAGAGTAAACTCTTCCAAACTTGAAAAAAAAATCGATTATGTAGGTGTGCGAGTCAAACTATTACTCATTTTTATTTGAAAAATAAAACAACAATTTCAATGTGTGTTTAGTCATATCGTACTAGGCTAAAGGTGTAAGAAAGTTGTTTTTTTTTTTTGGAGGGGTGGGGGGTGGGGGTAAAGACCTAAAGATTTATCTCAGAAAAGGAGGGGTCACCCCTCCTCCTAATACTACATGTCTGACATGTATATTCATTTCTCAATTTTGCTCTAAATTCCGCAATAAATATTCCGATTTACTTATAGATTATTGTTTAGGTACATGGCGTGTACAAAGCGCGTAATATACATGTGTATGATCACGTCAAAAACTGTTGTTGCATTGGCGTCGGAAGCAAATTGAAAGTGTGTGGGGGGGGAGCTAAGTGTAAAAAAAAAATTATCCTCGAAAAAAACCTGACAAGCAAGAAAAAAAAAACGAAATGTCCATCATTTCCCAAACGCGGGTTAGGTTTGAACTTCAGTACCAATTTTTTTTTTTCAAACATACCATTTTCCCCATTTTTAACCTATACTGCGACGTGTCTGTCGAAAGTGGAGGGCTAAACCTACGAAGCAATGTTCAATGTCTATATTAATAAACGGTTGCTTTGAATTTTGAAGTGGTCAGTACAGTGCATCATTTGCTTTTGTAGACTGGTTAAATGTGAAGAAATTGTAACGTCTTTGATATTTTTGCTTGTTTGTTTCTTTTTCGCAAGAAATTGATTAAATGTGTATTTATATACATCTACTAGTATATTGATTGTACATGTGTTGTTCGCAATGCCCAGGAAAATTGCGATTACATGTATGAGAATTAAAATATGTTGCCATCATTCGAAGATTAACATGAGTGATATTCTTCGAAGTCTATAGAGAACCTTGTTTTTAAAATAAAAAGGCCGGTGACTGCACTTTTCAAATACGAGCTACATGTGTCGCTTCCTAGAGAAAACACGCTTTTCGGAGGTATTCACCTGTGGCGGTATGGAATCACGTGACATATTATCTATTCTTAGCAGGTCAACAAGAGGTTAATCTTATGTAAATGTACTCACCAAACAGATTCAAAATCATAATACTTTTAAGTAGAAAACATAGAGCGCAATGTTGTTCAACAAAGATATTTTCACACAATCTGTATAAATATAATATACATATTATATTTTAATCTCGACTTTGAACAAATCTGCGCTCGATGTTTACGAAAGCTGTGAAGTAGGTACCTGTCACAAATTTCTTTTGATATTCATGAAAATCAAAGGACCCCACCTTCAAAACACAGCTTCGCGTGCTGTCTATTGCAATTATTTGACCTTTTTAAACGTTGACGCAAATACTACAGACATGAGAGAATAATATAATTTACTTTTTAAGTTTTTTAATGAAAGTTTAAAATTTGACGAGTAACCAGGGACCACAGATAATGCCTTATTGAGACTTCTTCTTTATTTCAAATATGTGCTTGAGGACAGGATCATTCGTGCTCAGAGATTATTTTTAATTAACTTTTATTTTTGAACTATATCAATATTTCTATCACTTAATTTTTTGTACAATTTGTGGCAGTGCAATTTATTACAAGCTCAGTAGTCAATTCCATTATCATCCACCCACAGAGACAATACTATATGCACCATGCATATGCAATTCAGCTAATAAGGAACTTTGCTGTCGTTATACAAGAACAGAATTTTTTGGAAAAGATTAATCTGTATATACACCTACAAAAGTGAAGAGACTTTGAAGGAAATAAAATGGTCTTTAGACAAGGACAAGAGGATAAAGAGACTTAGCGGTTATATTTAACTTGAATGCAATTTTCTTATGTTGAGGGCTCACCTTTGTCCTGACTTTGTCATAAAGCATCATTTTGAATCTACGAAAATAATAATGGCCTTCATGTTCTTCTTCTTCTGCTAGTTCTGCATATTGCTCTTCTGCCTCATATCCAAAGGCGACGAATTGTTTCTTTTCATTCAGTAGAACAGTTGTAGGGGCTTTAAATGACATGATGTCCCCTTTTCCCTGCCACACCGGACAAAATACTCTCGGGGGATCTTCTTCCAGTTCACTCCTTGCTCCAATAGCATACCCGGAATATGTTGTTCCAAAATCTATGGCAGCCACCATTAACATGTTATCTCCCTTTCTCCATGACGCCATTTTGATTTTCTCTATTAGTACAAAATTTATAGAATGAAACTAAAAATTATCATAATTAACTCAAAGTGTTGGATTGGTAAAATTTAAAGATGAAAATAAATCTTTAAAAAATTGTCTTTACTTCACCAATACATGTATTTCTTTAAAACCGTGTAAACCATGAACTTACATGTATTTATACGTCAAGATAGGTATGGATACAACCACTCCCTATGTTAAATTTGCTCTCGAAACGATATAAGTTGACATTTTAAAATCTTATTTAAGTCAGATACTAATCGATATTGGATGAATTTAATAAAAATCACAGGAAGTAAGATTAATTGGCTAAATGCAAAAGTATATTGATGTCATGAATGACTTACCTTTGTACTGCACTAAAACGAAAGTAGACTCAAGACAGTGACCTTTAATGTCTTTTTAAAAATCACAACCTTCTTGTCAAGTAAAGTTGTACCCTATCTCGTTGTAGGGTTAAATGTAAGTTAAGCAGGTCCAGTCCAAAGACTATTTCTACCTACGTAGCTATTAATAGCTACCTAGGTATTTAAAGCTACCCAAAGTAGCTATTTTTACCTACTTTTTATATTTTCTGCATTTTGCGGCTAACAGACCAAACGGCGCAACATGGTGAATACCATATTTTTTTAATACAGTCACACTAATGATGAATACGACAAAATTTTGGCCAAGAAATGATTACTTCCTGAATTGGCAATTTTACATTAGTTTCTATGTAAAATTCATAATATACGAAGTAATCATTTTTTGGCCAAATATTTGTCATATCCTTCATCAGTGTGACCGTATCAAGAAATTTTGTGCTCACCATGTTGCGCCGTTCCTGCATTTGGCCACAAAATGCAAGTTAAGCAGAAAGTAGGTTAAGTACTGAGATTTTAAAGAAAAAACATAAACATTTTTTTTCTTTCACAAACTGTATAAACTTACAAATTTGTGAAATTTAATTGACTTTTCATTTTTAAATGAAACTCGACACCCTCTTAACAGGTGACACAAACAAAAAAAGGATGCCTAAATTGATACCGGGGGTATATGTTTCTTGGCCTATTCTTGTTGCAAATTGTGTAACTAATAACTTTCTAGAATGTTAGAAAATCGTAAATCTTTTGTGTTAAAAATTATACATTTCTGCAACAATATTCTTTTTAATCAAAATTTTTTTACTTCAAATCTCATTATTGTGAAACTTTCAAATAAAATATGAAAAACTATGCGGTGAAACTTGTTTATTTTATTCAATAAAGCATGACTCGAGTTGTAATTTACAACTTCATTTTAAGACAAAAGTTTACTTGTATCATCTGGCCTTAATTGTGTTCTTGATAAAACCAACAGAAGGCCGGGGCAACTGGTTCTGATTTCTGTCTTTTAGCTTCAGTGTTTTATTTGTCAAGTATCAACCTAATTCCTGTCATAAAAATTGGGTTAGTCAATTGAGGATTCAGGGTGAAAAAGGGCAAGCCCAAAACAGTCTTAAAAGTGCATGTCATATGACCGAGAAAGAACCTTTTGATTTTTTTTTTTAAAAAAGGTTTCTATATATCATGCAATGATATTATAATTTTCAGGGCATGGATTGAAAAGTATCATGTGATCTTTAAATTATATAAATTGTCTTTTAGAAGAACTTGGATTTCATTCTTCAAGTGGTTATCCTATCTATACTCAGAGTTCCCTTTGTAAGGAGAAAATTCTTCAAAATCATGTCAATTTTGAATATTTTTAATATCTCAAGAACCAAAATGATTTTGAACTACCATATATACATATTGGATTCCAAAACTTTAGAGCAATCCTTACAAACAAAGATACAGTGGGTTCCAATAAATGTTCAACCTAGCCTTTAAGAATTAGATAGATTTCATGATCAGTACGTACTGCTCTCTGCCGCCAAAGCAGGTAACAACAATGTCTTCGTTTGTAAGGCTCATTATATAAATTGTATTTTAGAAGCACTTAGATTTAATTCTACAAGTGGTAATCCTACTTATACTTCCCTTTCTAAGGAGGAAATTCTTCAAATTATGTCAGTTTTAAATATTTTAAATATTCCACAGGGCCAAAATGAATTTGAACTACCCTATATATATATATATATATATATATATATATATATATATATATATATATATATATATATATATATATATATATATATTGGATTCCGAAACTTCATAAAAATCCTTACAAAGATTCATTGCAGGTTCCAGTAAATGTTCAACCAAGCCTCTTTCGTTACTACTCACTAAAATATTGACAGTTGTGAAGGAAAAACTTCAAGAGTACTGTGAAACAATATATTCAAGAAGTGGTGTGAATCAGATGTGGATACATAAAAATTCCAAATAACTTTTGGACAATTTGAAATCACAAGATTTTACCAAAATCAACAGCTTAAAAACTTATGACTTTTCAACTTTGTACGCAACCATTCCCCACGATAAATTAAAGGCTTTTTGAAATCATTGACAGCTGCTTTTTTTAACAAAAATGGAACTCGTAAATTTACTTATCTGTTCATTTGTAAAATTATTTTGTTAAAACACTTTCTGATTGCACACACAAGTACTTTGAAGTTGACATCAAAGAGATGCTTGAGTTTCTGATTGACAATATCTATGTGGTTTTTTGAGACCTGGTATTCCAACAATCTATTAGAATTCCCATGGGTACCTATTGCACTCCGTTATTGGCAGACCTATTTTTATATTCATATAAAGCAGAATTTATGCAAAATCTTATGCATGAAAAAAGAAAAAACTTGCTGTGGCCTTCAAGTCGACTTTTAGATAGATAGACGACGTATTGTCAATTAACAATGGTCATTTCCATTCCTACGTCGATACGATATATCCTAAGGAGCTTGAGATAAAAGATACCACAGAGTCTGACACATCTTTCATACTTGCATATTTTACCTGAAAAAGACGTTAATGGAAATCTAACAACCAAGCTCTATGATAAACGTGATGACTTTAACGTTTCTATTGTCAACCTCTCCTTATTATGCAGCAATATACCTTCATCACCTGCATACGGAGTTTATATATCTCAGTTGATTCGATATGAAAGAGCATGCTCTACGTATGAACAATTTCTTAAACGAGGTAAATTATTGACAAGCAAGTCAACATTTCGCAAGTTTTACGGTCGATACAATGACCTTGTCAGCAAATACAATTCATCATTGAGTCAAATGCTGACTGACGTTTTTTCTTAAAAATAGTCGCCCGCGTGGCGCAGTAGTTAGAGCCTCGTCTGCTCTAGAGTCGCGAAGTAAGGAGAAACTTCAAGAGTATTGTGCAACAAAATATCCAAGAAGTGGTGTAAATCAGATGTGTATACTTTCCAAGGAACTTTTAGACAATTTGAAATCACAAGAATTTACCAACATCAACAGCTTAAAATCTTACGACTTTTTCAACTTTATACATAACCATTCCCTGCGACAAATTAAAGTCCAAGCTTTTTGATACCATTGACGGCTGATTTTAATAAAAATGCAATAAAAATGGAACTCATAAATTTGCTTACCTTTCATTGGTATGGCACGCCAAATTCACAAAAATGAGCTAAACCTATTTTCACAATTGATAAAGTAGGTTTATCGACTGTAAACTATAGTTTACAAACCGTTAACTATAGTTAACGATTCGTTAAGTATAGTTTTCATCTGTAAAACTACTGTATACAGAGTTATTTTCGCCCCGCTTTATTTTCGCCCTTTCACACTTGCAAACAATTTCGACCCGTCTTAAATTTGCCCAATCACAGTTTTATTCTAGGAAATATACTATTATGTTCTTTAAATTCGTTCCGTTTTAAATTCGCATAATCAAGGCTAAGGCGAAAGGGGCGAAATTAAACGGGGGCGAAATTTTCCCTGTATACAGTATATTTAACGATTGTTAACTATAGTTTACGAATGATAATTTAAGTTTATCTGCCTGTAATAAAGCGTTAACAATAGATTTTGTTGATAAACATAGATTCACGGTAAACTATAGTTTACAATCGTAAACTGTAGTTAAGAGTTGTTAATCATAGTTTCACAAATTGTGAAACTATATTTATCAGATCGTTAACTACAGTTAACGGTTTGTAAACTATAGTTTACAAATCGTGAAACTGTATTTATCAGATAATCTATGTTTTGCAATCGCAAATGATTGTTTTCGTTGTTAAGTATAGTTTACGGTTGTGAAACATAGATTATCGCGTTTACAGATGTAAAATATAGATTAATGTTGTTAACTATAGTTTACAGTCCGTAAACTATAGTTTACAACCGATAAACATAGTTTTTCGACTGTGAAACTTTGTTTTGCTCAATTTTGTGAATTTGGCGTGCCATACATTGGTCATTTGCAATATATTTTGTTAAATAGTAAATTCTGATAATACACACAAATACTCTGAATTCGACATCAAAAAGATGATTGGGTTTCTGATTGACAATATCTATGTTGTTTTTGGAGACCATGTCTTTCAACAATTTATTGAAATTCCCATGTGAACCAATAGTGTCCCGTTATAAGCAGATCTATTTTTGTATTCGTATGGAGCAGAATTTGTCCAAAATCTTATGCGTGAAAAGAAGAAAACACTTGTGCCTTCAACTCGACATTTAGATATATCGACGACGTATTGTCAATTAACAATTGTAATTTCCAATTCTTATGTCGATACAGTATATCCTGGTGAGCTTGAGATACAAGATACCACTGAGTCTGACACATCTGTTTCATATTTGGATTTTTTGGACTTGAAAAAGACGATAATGGTAATCTAACAACCAAGCTAAATGATAAACGTGATGACTTTAACAACTTTTCTATCGTCAACTTCCCTTATACTTATGCAGCAATTTACCTTCATCACCTGCATACGGAGTTTGTATCTCGGTTGTATCAATACGAAAGAGCATGCTCTACGTATTCATGAACAATTCCTAAAACGAGGTAAATTATTGACAAGCAAGTTGATTAAACAAGAATATCAGCAGACTCGTTTAAAGTCATCATTTTGTAAGTTTTACGGTCGATACCATGTCGGCAAATACAATTTATCATTGAGTCAAATGCTAACTGACGTTTTTTATACTAATTGTTAGTCCATTATTTATACACTGAATATTGACGATAGTTTTTTTTTCTGTTCTTTTGATCATTACAAGGAGCACACGACGAGTGTGACCGGTCGGCAGGCGATGATCACCCCTATCCTACCTCTAATGTTTTGGAGGTCTGTGTTTGCTATGCTCCTATTTGTATTGTTTTATGAACTTTTGATCTGGAATACTGTTCCTTATCTCCATATGTTTCATTCCATTCCTACCACAGAAATGCTTAGTGTAAATTTATTTAATTTCTTCTTTCATTCATTAATTATTTATGTTCATTTATTTCCGAGGAAAAATTCATGTATGCATTTTTTACAAAAAGTCTTAAGGATATCCGATCCTCAGCCAGGAAGGATAACTTCAAAAATTGATATTTAATTTGAAATGCATCAAAATGAAGATTGAAAATGAAATTTGTTCATGCAACAATTTTCGTTTTATTAATCTTTATAAGATCCAAGGTTTTTGGAAGTCTTAGAAAACGTCTTATAAAAGTTGACATTTGTACCCTTTAAACGGGAAAAAATTAATACAATTTTAGAGAAATAAAATTTTCTTTAATCCAGCCTTAGATACCAGTGCTTATTTAAAATGATTTGATATAAGAAGTGATTTGTGGTGTCTTGCAATGATAGCAAAAGACTTTAACACTATGTATTGTAGAATACATGACAGAAATAGAAGACAAAAAACGAAATAAGTATAAAAATCATAACAATTTCTTTGAATGCCTGGATACCTATCATTATTTAACCTAAAATATATTTGCTGATCAATTTGCAATTAGAAAATGCATTGCCGATATTCCAATTCGCTTTTTTAGCAAAGATGTTGGAGATTTGACAATATTCCCTATATAATATAACTTTAATCTTTAACTTTAAAGAAATACTGTGGATAAATTTACATAACTTTGTGGATTCAGAGATACTTTTATGAGAATTTTTGATTACTTAACTGCTAATTTTATAAACCTGAGGATCGGCCTACCTTAATTGCAGCCTTCCACAGGAAATTCGTAGCATCCCAATATGAGGGGGGAAAATCTGGGAAGTCATGTATCTACATGTACGAGTACATGTACAGTTAAGGTTGTCAGTGAAGTCTAACTAAAAATAATTTGTCATACTATAACAACATATCTTCTTCAAAGCCAAGCATTTACGTATTGTAAAACAACATGTGTCAGTAATCCTTCAAAGTCAAGAAGTAAGTTTTTGAAAACCTATCTCTCGAACAACATTGTATCTCAACATAACTTTTTTAATGTTGTTATGATCTTGTTGGTCCTCCTATTACATCAGTTGTCGTGTTGAAAAAATAACAAGTTATGTTTGTGAAACACTGATGCCCCTGTATGGTACCTCAAAGCCAAGATAATTAAAAAAAGGTCAAACTTATAATATATGTGTGACATATGAAAGCCCCAGCAGCAACTGTTTAAAAGTAATGCCAAGGATAAAGCTTTATATTTGTTTTATTTTTAAAGACAAATAGACAACACACAGACAGACGTACAGGCCAAAAACATTATTATTATTCGCATTTGCTGATCAATACAAATCATTATCTGTCTATTACCCAGTGAGTATTTTATCAATAAAGTTATTTCTGGAAAATCATCGCGTTTTGTCTCAGTGGCTTTCTGTCAAAGTTTACTTTTAAGGTGTCCAATTCCAGACGGTATATATCGCCTGCAATAAGAAAATGATGTTCAATTTGTAACATTGACATTCATAAAAAAAATTCGTGACATTTGTTTCGTTTGTATTACATGGAATTTAAATTGAAGCCCTATGGGTTACTGTGATGTACCAATACAGATAGAAGGGTAATTTTATCAAAATACATTAATTTTTATGTTATAAATACAGCTTAGTCTCTACAAACAATTTCCAAAGTGTTCCTATCAGTCGTATGATGCTCATTCCCATATTCCCAAAATCAAAATTCATATTTTTTTTTCAATTTTTAAAACTTGAAAATCCAACATTCCATAAATCAGCAATTCAGAATACAACCATGAATTAATTCCGATTTTATCGCTCAAACTTCGAATGCAAAAAAGACTACCTGACATTAATCCCGGCTTTCTGGAACATGTACACCGAAGCTTTAGCCTCGTTTTTATGGAGATTCTTGTCGTCATAATACACAACTTCTCTTATACGACTCTGTATTATGATTTTGGCACAATTGTTACAGGGAAACAATGTTACATATATAGTACAACCCCTGATGTCCGCGGACAATTTGTTCACGATGGCATTCATTTCGGCATGACACACTGAAAGTATATTTCATACTTAAGGAATAACCATCTAGTTTATTTATTTTTTATTTATTTATCTCATATTTATGTATTTATTTTAATGTTTTCTTTTGTTTTGCTTTATGATATGATAAATCAATTTGCTCGCGTGGTAGTATGCATAATTAATGTTAAATGGTAATGGTTTATGTGTAGTACCTACCGAATAACTTTTTGTTATGGAGAGGGTCCTTGAAGCCCTTACCCCAGGGCATTTCGTCGTCACTACAACCATTGGGCATTCCATTGTAACCTATCCCAACGATTCTATTATCCTGGTTAACAATGCATGCACCTACCTAAAATAAAGCAAGTGTAAAACAAAGGTTATTTTCTGTAAAATATTTTACATTGATTTGGTAAATATTTGTTGATATGTTAGGACAAGCGTT